TTAGAATTTGGGCCATTTTGTTCCGTTTTGTTGTTGTTTGTACCTCTCAATGTAGAAGACTCAACTCCCATATCAAGAGACATGTAGTGTCCCTTGGAGATAAGGTGTTGAAGGAAGTCATATTTTGTTGAAATTGAGTAGGGGTACAACTTCACAGGAAAGAGATAACCCAGATTCCCTGGTGAATTCATCGTCAAACTTGGATGATTCTGTTACACCTTGCAGTATTACGTCGATGTTATACCCCGTAGTAAAATGAGGATCGGTTATGATGTTAAAATAACATATGCTAGCATGTAAATATGAATAATACACATTATTAACATATTTTAAGTCCTATAATTAGTAGAGAAATGTTGAGGTGCTTATGGGTATATATGTATTTCTTGTAAATGATCTATTGCTAAGTAAAGACAAATGTTGCCTCTTCCACCGTCCAAGGCCCCTTAGTCCTTACAAAATGATATATATCAAATCTTCAAAGTGAAGGAGGTCATTTAGGAGCTGCTACACGTTATCCAATTCATATAAACACCATCTCAATCAATTAGAATCTCTTTACAATTGCACCATACAGACAACTCTCTCTAAGGCAATTATATTGCAACTTTCCTCTTGGTTTGGAGGTTTTATGTGTAAAGGTATTGGGAAGGCTTATCTCCAGTTCATCTTATCCCTTTTCTTTAAATAATTAAGGTAAGAATTCAACAATCCTTCTAGATAAGTTTATCTTCAACTTGGAGAAATCCACTTTAAATTCTTATTGATGTAGAAATAAAGTGCTCTAGTGGTGAGCACCCTCCACTTTCAACTAAGAGTTTGTGAGTTCGAGTCACCCCAAGATCAAGGTAGGGAGTTCTTGGAGGAGGGAGCCGAGGGTCTATCGGAAACGGCCTCTTTACCCCAGGGTAGGGGTAAGGTTTGCGTACACACTACTCTCCCAAACCCCACTAGTAGAATTATACCAGGTTGTTGTTGTTATAATTTATTTGAGGAGGATTTAGTTGTGTTGAAGGGCTGAAAATATAGTTATATATATGTATATGTGTTGTTATCCTTGCTGTTCAAGGTAATAGCATACTCTTCTCCATGTATTTGAGGTCATTTGGGTCATAGTTTGGTTATTGATGAAGTGTTGTAGTTGTTGAACGGGTTTGAGTGGTTTATTAAGGTATCCTATGGCTGAAAATTGTGAAGTATAGTTGTTTGTGATGGTGGTTGTGTTGTGAGCAGAGGAGAAGAGTTAGTAGTGTTGAATTGCCATATTAGGATGATATGAAGCTTATGCACCCCAAGTGTTCAATAAAATGTCGTAGTGAATCCAATTCTTGGTTTATTGATTCGATTGTGATCCAAACCATTTATACAATGTAGATTATCATTCGTAGAGCGTACGGGAACTCGTGAGCTATCGCTAGCCAAGCAACATAGGTATGTTAAGGCTATCCCTTCTTTCCCTTTAGCATGGCCCATACGATACAAACGAAACGAGCAAACACACAACTTTCATAAATGCCTCTATTCATAGAAGCACTAGGGGTGCCCATATGTCTTATTATTATATCGTCTGTTCATGGGTCTCAGAAAATTACGTAGTTGATAAAGTTTATCCGAAGACATATTGATCTTATGACATTCCGAGAGATCTTATTGACTTACTTCATTATGCATTGCATTCATTTATACATGTACATAGACCATAACCAGATGTCGTTATATATGCGTATATTATATGTATATGAGGTATGTGGAAAGATTACGACATTATATACGCACCACTACTTGATCAGTTGGTATACGTTGATGATTTCTCCCACAGAGGCCGAGATGATATGATGGGATACCCGCAGAGGCTTGATGATATTATGTACGCATATACCTATGCATGATATGACATTTATACGCACATGTATGATATTATAAATGTTTCAAGATTCATAGAGATATTTAGACTTACAGGCGGAGTCCTTTACTCCATGTTTCTTTTATGTACTGATTTTTATACCTTACATACTCGTTACATTATTTGTACCGACGATCCTATTTATTGGGGCCTGCGTTTCATGCCCGCAGGTGCAGGTAGACAGGCTGACGGTCCCCCTTCTTAGGATCCTTGCTCAGCAAGAGTTGGTGTGCTCCATTTGATCCGGAGCTGCTTTTGGATTTTGGTACGATATTTTTGTATACATATATGGGTATGACGGGCCCCAGTCTCGTCATTTGTACAACTGTACATTCTATTAGAGGTCTGTAGACAGTCATGTATAGTTGGATAGTATGTGGCCTTGTCGGCTAACCCTACCGTATTCCGTATATATATGTACATATGTCTTTTGGGCATGTTTTCTCGCGTATGTTATTCACATGATTCAGTAGTTTATTGCCAGATGTTATGCATGACCTATACTTATTTCATATTTTTATCTTAGACATATGCTTAGGGGTGTTCGACAGGTAGGCTCGGGCACTCGTCATGACCCATCGGTTTGGGTCGTGACAGATTCCATGTCATCTGATGAGTTATCCATCAAGATATCTTCTTCACAATCTTTATAAGCTGCGCCTTCAAAATCAACATCATCCATGTGTTTGGAAACCTGTTCATTCCCTTCACATAGAATTGCCCTCCTTGAAATTTTCCATCTCTTTTTCACATCTTTCAGAAAGCTTAGGATTTAGACCAAAGAGGAGAGTACCATCCTTAGTGGCTTGTTCTCCAAGCTGCTCATCCAATTCAAGAGATATGTCTGGTGGGATCGCCAATTTTACAATGATCTATTCCATTTTCAGTTAACACCTTTGAGTTCTACCTAATTTATTTGAACAAGAGATTTGTCTAAAATTTGGCATTGATCTTCATCGTCTTGGTAAATAGTTTCTTTTTGCTGCCTGATTTTGTTCATATTCCCCTTGATCTTCTGGAGTTTAGGTTCCTTTTTCTTCTTTATTTTGTTGACCCTGTCCAACCTGGTAGGCTTCTGCGTCATTATTGCTGGGCTTTGGCACTATTCGTGAAGTAGTGGCAGTTACAGGTACAAAAATTTCCATTTCCTCCTTATTGTGATTGACAACAGCTACTCCTCTTCCATCTTTGGCCTTTTACTCTTGGGTAGTACCTTTTTCAAGATTGCTGTTGTTTAATTTGCCTCCCCTTTTAGCAGCGTCAAACCTTTCATTTGACGAGGTCTTCTTAGTACCTTTTCCCTTTCTCCTCACAGTATGTCATCCTTCATCTTCATTTTTCTGCTCCAAGCACACTTCAGGAACCTCAAGGTGATCCTTGATACTGGCTCTATCCCTGATAGAGTTGCTGGCAATAAGAGCTTGAGGATTTCCTTGAGCTTTCCTTTGGTCTTTGTGATTTCCAATGCTTGAAGTACCAGCTGAAGGCGATTTGATTTTCTTTCCTGCACCATGTCTTAATTCAGGATGTGGGACCCTACATTTGTTTTTTATCATAGTGACCCTGAATCTTACAATGGAAACACAAGACCGAAATGCCAAAATTGTTTCATATTCTATCTTCTAGGTGAGCCTTTCCATATTGCCCTCCAGATTCTTTATTTCTGCCAGAACTTCACTAAGCAAAGGTTTTGTCAGGTCAAATTCAACACGAAGTTTGGCAGTAGTGGGTCTAGTTTTGGATAGAGTGGACATGTCCACTAGAAGGGGAGTCCATTAGCAGGGGAGCACCTATAGGTCCTGCAATGCAACATGGTGCATTTCATTTATAATAAAGCCAAGGAAGACCTGGTAAATTGATCCATACCGGAGCTAAAATTATTTCATGGCTCTGGTTTGAATTTTGTAGTCTATTTCTTAATTTTCACAATTTTGTCATTCCAAGAGTAATGAAGTTCCTTGAGATAACATTCAGATGGTCTTCTAAATTATCAAAATCAATAAAGATATATCTCATATCATAAGCCCCAATTTTGATACAACATTTTCCAGGAAATATCTTTGCAAACTCACTTCAAATAATATCGATTGAATGTCGAATATGAGTATATCCACTAATAATCGTCCATTTACACGTTTGAGCAAGCAAGTCATTCTCCTCCTTGGTAAACACTACTACTAGTTTTCCATTAAATATCTCATAAGCTCTGGGGGGAAGACGAACTCTGTTTCTCTGGAAAGTTTGATTTCCCACTGCATTAGCATAAGAAGTTTGAGCAACTTCTCCTAGCAATTTCTATTCCAGTTCGAATCGGGCTGGATGCCCCGGGTTTGTCTGCTCCAATCGATTTGCGAGATTGGTCAGATTTGGATTTGCACCATCCTCTGTCTGAATGGGCTTAGATGCGTTTCGAGCATTTGTAGAGTGAGAGCCCAAGTAAGTGGATCTATTTGAAGGATTAGTTAGGCTAGTTGTTGACAATAAATGTTGTTGAGTTATGTTTTGTGGAACACATGTTAATGGTGGGAAGAAATCAATAGCTAGAGGATTTAATGTAGTTGGAGGCTGATCTGGAGGATGAGGTGGCTGTGGTGGGTCAGGGGGCTGAAAGGTCCACCGTGGGAAACATCATAAAACTTGTCAGAACAATGGTGGATTATGTCTTAATGGTAATGAATTGGGCCAGGTGTCTGATTTGTTTATAGAGAGAAGGTGGATCCTCTCTCTAGATTTTTACGTCAGACGTAGCTCATGAACCTTTAATCATATCCCTATAAACTAGGGGTGTTCAATACCGAACCGAAATCGAAAACAGAATCGCAAAAATGGCTTAATGGCTTATTGGTATCGGGTTAACAGTTTAACGGATGAGGAACAAATTGAATTTTTTTTATTAACGGCTTATTGATTTGGGGACGGATTATTCAATTTTCTTAACGGATAATCTGTTAACTCGTTAAGAATATATATGTAATATGTATATTAAATAAGTAATAAAAATCCCTTTCTTATCGTGGGTTGTGGCATTATACAAGTAAAAGTGTTAAAACTTAAAAGTGTTTCTTTATAGTTGTCCACTTGTCCAGTACCCTTCTTTACCAATACTCTATTAGGAATTCAGATTTGAGACACAAACCCTAACGTCTAAAAGTGTTAATTTCAGTATTACACCCAGCAGCCAGAGCAGCAGACTCACTGTCTCCCTCTTGCTAACTTGCCTCTCTATCTCGCCTCTCCCTCTCGCCAACTCGCCAACTCGTCGTCTCTCCTCTCCCTGTCGTCATAGCCAGAGCCCAGAGCATCAGATGATAAGTTTCTTTTCTTGTTGAAATTACAACTGTTGCCTTCTCTGCCTTGTGCTATTTTGAGATCGATTTTGACAGTTTTTGTTTAAATATCTGTTAAGGAAATGGTTATTTTCATTCCTTTTCTTTTCTTGATGTAGTGACTCATAGCATGGCTGAAAATATACAAAGTGATAAGATGATGGGTGAAAGTGGGGCTTCTAATTCAAATGCAATAAGCCAATTTGAAACAACAGAGTCAAATATAACCAAAAAAGGAAAAAAAGGTCTATTGTGTGGGATCATTTTACAGAAATTATTACTTCCGAAGGGAGTACAAAAGCAAAATGTGACTATTGCTTTATTGAATATTGTTTTAAGACCAAAGACGGTACGTCGACACTTCTTTCTCATATGTTTATATTTCCAAAATGCCCTGCTATTGTTGATAAAAAAACAATCAAATTTAGGTTTTCAATCTGTTTCGGGGGTAGTCAGGGTGACGTAGCTGTTGTTACTTGGAAATTTGATCAAGAAAAGTGTAGGAAGGCGTTATGTCGTATGGTAATAGTTGATGAGCTTCCTTTCAACTTTGTTGAGAAATAAGGTTTTAGAGACTTTATGACAGTGGCGCAACCTTATTTTCGAATCCCTTCCCGTAGTACTGTAACTAGGGATTGTTTTGATCTTTTTAATGAAGAAAAGCAAAAGTTGAAGAGGTCTTTTATAGAAACGAAACAAAGAGTATGTATTACCACTGATACCTGGACTTCTATACAAAGAATCAATTATATGTGTATCACTGCCCATTGGATTGATAGTGAATGGAATATGCATAAAAGAATAATTAATTTTTGTCCTATTGTTAGTCATAAAGGCGAAGATATGGCAAATGGTATTGGTAGGTGCTTACGTGAGTGGGGGATAAATAAGATCTTCACTGTCACAGTTGATAATGCAAGCTCCAATGATGTGACAGTAAAAGAATTGTCTAAGCAATTAACAAAAATGGGAACTAATTTGATGAACGGTAATCACCTTCACGTGAGATGTATGGCTCACATCATGAATCTTGTGGTCCAGGATGGTTTAAAAGAATCTTCAGTGTCTATTGAACGTGTTAGGCATGAAGTGAGATATGTTAGGCAGTCTCCTGTGAGGTTGAAGAGGTTTCAAGAATGTTTTGATAATGAACAACTCAATTGTAAAAAAACTTTATGCTTGGATGTTCCAACTAGGTGGAATTCCACCTACTTGATGTTGCGTAGGGCTGTTGAATTTGAAAGTGCATTTTCACATTATGCATCTAGTGAAATTGGCCTAAGACATTATCTTGAGCATTCTTATATTGAAGTTGGAATTCCTACAAGTAAACTTTTGAGTAGTGATTGGGAGAATGTAAAAAGAATTACAAAGTTTCTTGAAATCTTTTATCTTCTTACTTTGAAAATATCTTGATCACGTTATGTTACATCGAATATTCATTTTCTTGAAATTTGTGCGGTTGCTGTTTATTTGAAGCAATTGATAGCAAATGAAGATACAGTTTTAAGTGAAATGGCAAAGAAGATGAAGGAAAACTTTAATAAGTATTGGGGTGATCCAGGGAAAATGAACAAGATAATTTTCATCTTATGTATTTTGGATCCACGTTACAAGCTCGAATCAGTTGGTTATGCACTTGTAAAGATGTTTGGTGAAGATCTGGGGGAAACTATACAAGCAGAAGTGAAGAAGTACATGACTTCGTTATTTTGTGAGTATGTAAAGTCCAGCTCAAAAGGTGTCGTGCTTGCTTCATCTTCAGATTATTCTTCATTGGACACTTCTACTTCCGGGCTTTCTAACAGTCAAGTAAGCACCCAAAATACAGGACTTTTGGAATCACTTGCAAGATATAAAAAAATATAAAAGTGGGAGTGGAGGTGTAGATACTAAAACAGAGTTAGATAAATATTTTGGTGAAGAAACTGAGGATGACACTAAAGAATTTGATGTTCTTCTCTGGTGAAAATTGAACTCAGCTAGATTTTCTGTTCTTGCGGAGATGGCTCGTGATGTATTAGCGACTCCGGTTTCAAGCGTGACATCCGAATGTGCGTTTAGTACGGGAGGGCATCTTCTTGATTCATTTAGGAGTTCATTAACTCCTAAATTGGTGCAAGCTCTAGTGTGTCTTCAAGATTGGCTTCGAAATGAAAAATTAAAACAACCTGTTAGTGTTGAGGAAGATATTGATAAAATCGAGCAGCTTGAACAAGGTAATAATATTGTTACTATATTTGTTGTATATAAGTGTTGTGGATATGCTTATATTTATCACACGACTCATTATTTTAATTTGTTTTCTTCAGATTTAACCAGCGATGGAAAAGACCCTTCCGTAATTGACGTGTAGTGTTAATATATCTGGTAAGAATTCGAATTGTAATACAATGTTAATTAATATGTTAATATAATAACAACAAACATGAATTTTTAGATCAACAGTTTATATAATTATACTAATTAGCTCAAATTTTAAGGTGTATCTGCAAACTCGTTGATCTCATTTTGTAAAGTCTTGTGCCCTCAAGCTGTCATATTTCAAGCCTGCTACCATCTGAGTTATATAGTGCTAGGTTGTTGGATGTTAGCAGTTTGTTATTTTTTGAATGCTATTAATAATGCAAATGGTTCTACCATTGTAGAGTGATTCCAAAGACTCTTAGGTTATTGTTTGAACTTTGAAGCTGCAGAAATTGAAGCAATGTAAGGCGTTAGTTGCAGCAGTTGTATTTTGTGGATGTCTCCAATTGTTATAGATTTTATGTCTAAATTTCCATTTTATCTCTAGTTGTATTCTGGACTCATTTTGACAGGTGTAATTGGCTAATTACCATGTTAGGAAGTGTTAAGTGTTAATAAAATCTTCATTCATCATTATTATAAAACAGTTAAGATTTCAAGTGGTTACTATATATGGATAGTAAATTAGTGATTAATAAGCATGTATAAATATGTGTATAACGTTTTGTACTCTTTGTTATTTCTGTGTATGGATTAATCACGTACTAGCAAATAGTGATTTAAGCATGTGTAAATTAAATATCTTTACAGCTTTGCCTTTAGATATTTTTTATCTAGATCTTTACATATTAAATTAGTATTGATGTTATCTTTATGAAAATGGTATGTGCGTCATGTGCAATTGCATCCATTGCTCCAATATTTGTAGTGAACTGAAAGCAGCGTCAGTGGGCACTAGCAGATTTCTCTAGTGTTTAGAGGTGTCAATTTTGGTGTAATAACTAATAGGCTGTAACATGAAGGACCAAAATAGTCCTCTGTAATACAGATAGAACTAGGCCGATAAACCGCCCGATAATAGCTAAACCGATACCAATCCGCCCGATATCTTATCAGGTGGCTAGCGGATTAATACATTTAAAAGCCGATAACCGATAAGCCAAACTGTTAGTATATAACTGCCCGATCCGCTCGATAAGCAGCCCTACTATAAACAATTATTTGCATACAAACCTTCGATTACCTATAAGATTCCGGAGACAATTTAACTCAAAACTGCTCTAAAAGGTGTCATCTGAGTTGATAAATTTATCTGTCATACCTAACTAAGACCCTCTTTAACTTCTTATACAAGATTATGTAATTTGGCAGATTTACCATTCATTGCTTTCTGCTCAAAAAATTGAGGATTGCACTCATCCAAAAAAAGAGGATTACTTGGAGGAATCTGGAATTGGGCATAAAGGAATTTTAGATGGAACTCTAGGCTTAGTATTGTTCAAGTCCAGGCTCAGTATTTTCAGCTAATGACATGAGAAATGATGATGTAACACACAAAAGTAAAACAAGATGGTTGAACCAGAGGAGTCTTATGCAATATGAAGATACCTAACAAAGTGAAAGGCAATTTTTATAGAACGGATGCGAGATTAGTAATATTACATAGGAGTAAATGCTGGGCCTAAAGATAATGCTACAAAAGTGTAGATATTAAGATGGATGCGTGGTCATACAAGATTGGGATAGTTAGGAATGATCAAATCCTAAAGAGAGTGCAAATAGCATAAATAGAGGATAAACGGTAATATGCTATATTTACGAGTAATTTGATGTGTTTTACCCCTACTTTGGTGTGTTTAAAGTGGTTTAAAGGTTGAAAAATGTTCAATAGAGCTTGATGATTGAAGTTTGTTATGTTGGAAGCCAAAGTTTGCAATAGGAAACTTAGGCATCAAATGTATGACAATAGAAGAGATCGATTAATTGTATTATTCTCCTTTTTCAATCTATTCCTAAGGATCCTAGAGTCTCCGAGTTTGCCTGGTATTTTCTATAAATTCTTTAACCAAGACATTCCATGTTGAGATCCCTCAAGGGACTACTATTCACAATCTCAGGCCAGTAAAATGGTCAATTACACAGAAATATGAGCATATACCTAACCTAATTGACTTGGGTAAAACTTAGTTGATAGTTTATGGCTTGTTTTCATCTTCACATGTTTTTTCCTCTGTAATCAGTTTCAATTCATATCAATTTCCACTTTCTTTTCTTTTTCCCCTCGACAAGTAATCAGTTTCCAGATATTTCACAAATGAAAACTTTATTATGAAAGAACATGCATCCACAAGTAAATGTCATACAAGGATCCACTTTATCTTTTAAAAAAATACCATACAAGGATTCACCTCAATTATTCCTCTTTCTGGCCCAGTTGGTAGAACGCCATATGGATATAAATAAAGATTAAGCCCAACAGCTCAAAAGATATCTTTCAAAAGTGAAATGACTTGTACAGCAAGAACATCTTCCCGACAATCATTTCCTACCTATGCAAAAGAAAACAAAATTTAGACAACATATAAAAAAGCATAAACAAGAAAAATAAAATTTAACATGTAAAGAAGCATAAACAAGAAATGAGCTGTTATAACAACAACAAACTCAGTTAAATCCCACAAGTGAAGTATGGAAAGGGTAGTTTGTACGCAAACCTTACTCCTCCCCTGGAAGGTAGAGAGGCTCAATAGACCCTCAACTCAAAGAGTGATGAACAGAAGCAGTAACAACAACGAAATACTAAGAAAACCGAAGCGAAAGATAATAAGAAAACATCAGGTAGTAACAATAAGAAAAATACCAGACTAACACTAAAACTACCGGTATGAAAAAAAAATGCTCGGTTACCTACTAACCTTGTATCCTAATCCTCGACCTCCACACTCTTATATCAAGGGTCATGTCTTCAGTAAGCCGAAGCAGCGCTATGTCATGCCTAATCACGTCTCCCCAATACTTCTTTGGCCTACCTGTACCTCTCCTCATATACACCAAGGCCAACCTCTCACACCTCCTTACTAGGACATCTGTACTTCTCCTCTTCACATGCCGGAACCATCTAGACTCGCTTTTTGCATCTTGTCTTCCACGGAGGCGACTCCCACCTTTACCCGAATATCTTCATTCATAATTTTATTAAACCTGTTATGCCCACAGATCCATCTCAACATTCTCATTTCTACTACTTTCATCTTCTAGACATATGAATTCTTGACTGACCAACACTTCCCCCATATAGTATAGTCGGTCTAACCATCGCTCCGTAAAACTTACCTAAGTTTTTGTGGCACATTCTTATCACAAGACACCGGAAGCGAGCCTCCATTTCATCCACCCCGCTCCGATTCGATGTGTAATATCCTCGTCTATCTCCCTATTTCCTTGGATAACTGCACCAAGGTACCTGGAACTTCCTCTCTTGGGGATGATTTGTCTCAAGTCTCAGGTTTATGTTCGCTTTCTGGGTGATGTCGTTGATCTTGGCCTCCAAGTAATCTGTTTTGGTCCTGCTCAACTTGAAACTTTCCGACTCTAGGGTCTGTCACCAGACTTTCAGCCTCTCATTAACACCGCCTCGTGTCTCGTCAACCAGAATTATGTCATCTGCAAATAACAGACACCATGACACCTATCCTTGAATGTGGTGCGTCAGCACGTCCCTCACCAACGCAAATAAAAACGGGCTAAGGGCTTATCCCTAGTGCAACCTCATCACAACTAGGAAGTGTTTCGAGTCTCCTCTTCATGTCCTCTCCCAGGTCTTAGCTCCATCATATATGTCTTTAATCACCCTAATGTAAGATACATGACCTCTAACCTTCTAACATCTCCATAGAACCTCCCATAGTACTTTATCGTATGCTTTCTCTAAGTCAATAAATACCGTATGCAAGTCCTTCTTTCTCTCCCAATACTACTCTACCAATCTCCTTACGAGAAGAGTGGCATTCATAGTAGAACGTCTGGGCAATAAATTTGAGCTGGTTTTCCGAAATAGACACACTCTTTCTCACCCTAAATTCTACTACCTTCTCCCAAACTTTTATAGTATGACTTAGTAGCTTGATACCCTTATAGTTATTGCAGTTTTAAATGTCACCTTTGTTCTTGTACACAATGGAATCATCGTACTCCACCTCCATTCTTCGGGCATTTTTTTAAACCTAAAAATGATATTAAATAAGCTAGTGAGTCAATCCAAACTTGCCCTACTCGCGTTCTTCTAAAATTCTACCGGGTATTAAAGTCGCTCAGTCTAGCTCAGGTATTATGATCTAACAACGTTAGTATGTCTTTGACATTCTTGAGGAGAAAAGAATGACAGGTTGTACACATGTTGACACTCCTATAGATCAGAATTCTAAACTTCTGCAAGGACAGAGGGAGCCTCTTAGCGATCCTGCAAAATATAAGTGGCTCATTGGAAAATTAAATTACCTCACAGTGACTAGACCTGATATTTCCTTTCATGTGAGTGTCGTGAGTCAGTTTTTGGATTCTTCCTGCAATAGTCATTGGGATGCAGTTGTCCGCATTCTTCAATATATAAAATCAACTCCGGACAAAGAATTATGTTTGAGGATCGAGCCCATGAGCAGATCGTTGGATACTCAGCTACTGATTGGACATGATGAGCTTCTGATAGACGTTCTACATCTGGATATTGTATTTACTAGGAAGTACTTTGGTATTTTAAGATAGCAAGAAACATAATGTGGTTGCTCGGTCTAGTGCAGCAGCAGAATATCGAGCAATGACTATGGTAATATGTGAGCTAGTTTGGAGCAAATATTTGCTCAAGGAGTTGAAATTTGGTGAGATCAACAAGATGAAACTTGTGTATGATAATCAACTTGCTCTTCATATTGCATCAAATCCAGTGTTTCATGAGAGAACTAAATACATTGAGATTAACTGGCACTTCGTCAGAGAAAAGATAATCTCATGAGATATTGCTACAAAGTTTGTGAAGTCGAATGATCAGCTTGCAGATATTTTTACAAAGTCTCTCACTGGTCCTCGTATTAGTTACATATGTAACAAGCTCGGTACATAAGATTTGTAT